CGAACAAGCGCGATTGTTGACATTATTAAGAAGCATCAATCCAGTTACTGTTGTCGATCAGGTTTGTAAAGCAGTGGCATATTTTGGGGGTATACCTGGTGCACCACCACCAGAAGATGGTATCTTTCCTGAAAGTGCGAATACAAGAGAGACTGGAGCATTATTTATAGGATGGCTGGCAGAAATATTTCCCGACCTCTCAGCCAACCCTGAACCACCACCAATACCAAGGCCACAAGAACCACCATCTGCCAAGGGAAAGAGGGGTCGCGGAAGACCACCGAGAGACTCGAAAGGTCCAGAGAATGGTACATCCGAAGCGCCTGGTCCCGCAAACGGGTTTGGATTCGGTCCTGCTGTTCAAGCTCCAACTTGGGGATTACCTCAATCCGTAGCTTTAGTTAATACTGCGCCTCCGATGGCAGCTCCACCAATACCGGTAACAGCAGCAGCAGCGCCACTTCCATTAGCGGCAATGGCTAGTCCAAACTTTAGTCGACCAATTCAGGCAGAGTCGGATCGACCAGCTACTCCCCTAAAAGGACAAATCGAGAATCATGCTCCTGATACTGAATCTACAAGCAAGCGAAGAAGGGGTAGACCTAAAGGATCAAGAAACAAGGGAAAGGAAGTACCCGCGGGGAGTGAGAGTACTAGTGGATTGAATAATGTCGAATCTACTGTAGCAGATCCAGCGCCATCGGAACAAAACGTTCAGCATCAACCCGCGGCAGTTGCAAAGATGGTAGCCGATAAACCTGTTTCTACGAAGGAATCACCAATTGTCCCGGTGACAGACGCAAACAATAAGAGTGGCCAGCCACAACTCACATACTCGGCAGAACATTGGAACCCAGACTCAAATAACAACCATAATCATACTTCTTCAATTCTTCCACCAGATCAATATAGCCCCGAGGAACGTGCTGTTATCGAAGCATTTCAAACACCCGCAGAAGGACCTACTGGTTTTAATTCGACCCAAGGAACACCCGTAAATAATGGTACTCCCACAGCTGGCGGTACAAAACGAAAGCGTGGTCCCAATAAGCCTAAGACTGCTCCAATGACTGCATCTCAAAATATGTCAGGATCGCAATCGCAAACTAGTCATACATCTAAAAACATCAGTCCTCTACCCGCGCCTGCTGAGATTCCCGTTGTACAAAAAGAAACCTCCACTGTGCAATGGGAATCTGTACCTCCAATGGTTGAAACTCTTGTTCCGCCACCTCCTAAACGGCAACGAAAGCCAAAGGTTCCTGGAATCAATGGTCCTTCCACTGGCAAAAAACCTGGTTCTTCGGTTGTTAGTAACGCTACACCTCCTATCCCACCAAGTTCTATTCCAGATTCTCCCGCTACTTCAGTACAAAGTATTCAACAGACGCAACAAAACACACCTGTAACTCGACCTGCTGATGGATTGGAAGCGCATTATGCTAGGTTTCAACAAGATCTCGGACAACAAAATGGACGCAGTATCACTCCTACAACTTCAACAATCACACCTCAAGGACGTCAACATCAAAAATCTGCATCGATTCCACAATCGACACCACAGCAAATGAGCCAGCAAACTTCTCAACAGCCTCAGCAAGTTCAAATGCAACATCAGACGTCACAGCAAGGCCACCCACGCGATGATCAGAATCAAAAGATGACACAAAATGTTCCGAGAAATGCTTCGAATAGCTATTTCCCGAATCATAGTGGTGCTAATTATGTCTCACAATATTCCTCAAATCCGCAAGCAAATCAACGATATGGCGCTCATCAGCCATCACCTCAGATGGGTAACAGCTACCGAGCTGGTACCATGACCCAAGCCTCACCACAATTTGCACATGCCGAAAATTCTTACCGGACAGCTAGTCCTCACACCATAGCTCAATCATCACCTTCTTTCTCTCAACCCGATACGTCATACCGAACTTCATCTTCCCTAGCTAATCCTTCACCAACTTATTCGCAACCCGAAGCATCTTATAATCCTCGCACAACTTCTATTGCTACTGCAACTCCGTCATATTCTCAGCCTGATTACAAACCTTCCGCTTTGAATCAAACCTCATCTTATACTCGTACTACCCCAACCACTCATCAACAACAATCTTATAATCAATACGCAGATCCTTCTTACATTGATCTTCCCACTCTCGATCTTCCTACCTTGGGCCATACATCCGCGTCTGCTTATGGCCAAACAAATATGAATAGTTTAGGCAGTGGTAGTTCGAGAAGTAACGCAAATACAAATAGCATTTATGGTACGAGCTCTGGATTAGGCAATGCATTTGATGGAGGCGCAAATGATTTATTGAGGAATAATAGAGCGGGAAGTGGAAGTTACGGGGCGGGTGGTAGTGCAGGTGGTTTTGATGGGGGCGAGGAAATGAGGCAGAGGTTGATGAAGGGTATGTTGGGGAGAGATAGATGAAAACTTATCCGCAAACCCATTTTTTCCGGTCAGCAGTGGATTTGGATGAAATTCTGGGAATGAGTGGATAAAAAGCCTACTCACGATCGATCATTAATGACCTACTCATTGAACTTGAAGATGATGCTTCAATAATTTACTTAATACGACGGAATCAACGGATTGAAAACAGTTTTCCCCTTTAAGCCGAATCTGAAGATCAATCACGAGGAAGTTGGGAAGGTCGGGTCTTGAATTTGACTCTAATTTCGAGATGGGGTATGAAACCTCATCATGAATCTTTGTGGTATTGAAGATGGCATGTATGCGGGCGGGGTATCTGATTCGTTTTGAATGGCAAGTGGCAAGCACGGAATAGGAAATGTGAAAAAAGACTTTCGTTTAGTTCTCTTATTTAGGTGTGTATTTATGCAGATGAAATCGGAGATTTTATTTAGGGGTGCGAGATGTGTTGGAATGGGATAGGATCTACTAAGTTGAGATGGCATGGGAGTGAATGGATATCAAGTACGTTTCTTTTCCTTTACATTGAGTTACAATTGTTTCTTTTGAGATGGGGGTGGGGGTTACTTTTTTTTCTCCGAGGAGGGAATTGGATGATAAAGCAAAGGGAATGGAAGGGAATGAAATGGAGGAAGGGGGATGGATTGGTGGATATGTGGGTGGTACCGTGGGTGCTTAAAGGGAAATTTATTAAAGCAGTAATGATACCATTTTGATTTCGTGCACCTTGCCTGTCAAATTTATTCGGTCTGCTTTTTCTGTGGTGTTTTTGACTTGCCTTTTTTTGATACGCTGTTGCTGGGTGTTGAGATGTGTTGGGCTGGGTTTTTGGCGTAGACTGGTGGGAAGATGATGGGGGGGGGGGGGGGTTACCTGTTTGAGTGGGATATTTGAGGGATTGGATCACAGAATGAGAGAGTAGATCTGGGAGAAGGACGGGGAAGGGAAAGAGCGGGAAGGGTGTTGGATCGATATTGTCGGTCTTGATTTCGGTGAGTGAGTATCATATTCGTATTTCTTACTGATTTCGCTCTTTAATTCTTTTGCCCCTTGTGGATTTTGAGGGTGGATTGTTGTTTTCGTGATTGTTGAAGGGGCTGGGTTGTTATAATAGGTATCTAGAGTAGGTACTAGGCAGTGGGATGAGAGGCGGATTCGAGGGTTTGAGGGTTCGAGGTGAGGGAATGGGGGTGGGGCATGAGGGCTACTGTGGCTGTGGCTGTGGATATGGATATGGATATGGATAGGGGAGGGGGGACGAGGGAATCTAGGAGATGAAAGGGAGGAAAGCGGAGAAAAGGGGATGAAAGGGGAGGAGGAATACGGGTAAGAAATGTGTAGACGGGAGGTGGGGAGCCAGAGGAAGATCATGGAGATTAGAGATAGAGAGTGGAGATGGAGATGGAAGGCAAAGATATATGTATCACACTACAAAGCTTGGCTGGGGTATTACATAGCCGAGTATATATGATTCACGATTGGACACTTCCCAATCTAGGGATCAGGAGACTTCATTAGTAGGGAGATACCACTCATTTCCGATTCCTGAAAGAGACACTCGTGATAGCACTGAGAGGATCTCATACGACAACGAGATCGACAAATACAGTTTCACCTCACTATCGGATTCACATATATCACGCAGTATAAATCGCATTGTTATTTGAAAGAGATGATTATTATTTTTCTCATATCCCGAAGATGGTAAGATGTGTATGAAACTAACTACTTTTCGCTTGCGTCCTTTTTTTCGTTTAAAGAAATATGATGAAAATTGATCATGATAAACATTTGTATGAAAAAAGATAATTGGGGTTGTGCTAATGAAATGGTGCTATATGTGATCTTTATGTGAAAGGGGAATTCCAGATTTTCATCTATGCATCCGTCCTAGCTGAGAAGTTGCCGTGTGTCGTTAAGTATAGGAGATGTTCTAGCCACGGAATATTAGATGTCGTGGATGACAGCAAGGATTTCGAGCAAAGGTCGATAGATGTCGTTGATGATAGGGGTCATCTTCAGCAGGGACCGAAGACTGTTGGTAATGACAGCAAAAATGTCGAGTTGATGATGCGATGAGGTGAATCTTGGAAACTGGTGACGCGGGGTGAATACTGATGAAAGCAAGGGGATAAAACTTTTGGTGGGTAGTCTTGAAAGATAATAAATTTGCAATTTTTTTCGATAGTTTCCCGATACGGACTGAAAATCTCTGCAGCGAATGTCTCGATGGGTGCCAGCTAGATCTGAAATTCCAAATCGTTAGGTAAAGTTGACTGAAATGCTGATGAGAACTAAAATGGGGACTCGGCGAGATGCTGCAAGAAAGATATGAGTTTTGTGTTTTGTGGGACCGTGAGATATGTAAATTTCCTGTCGAGAGATCCAGTAAAGCTCTCCGTGATTCTTTGATAATGTATGCCAGAGAGGATGGCTGTACTGTGTGTTCTGGAGCGCTGGTAACGAATGCTCGACCAGATTATAGCAAGAAGGATTTTCGCATTAACGTTCTAGAAGATTTCGGTCATCATCCGCTACTCGGATTTCCAATTTTGTTTTAGACGTTATTTTGCTTGTTCAACCAGTCACCGAGCCATTCCTCGAGCTTATCGTAATCTGAATCGATTTTGAAATCACCATTGTCGCCTATAAACCGGAGTTAATGATATGGTAAAAAATGATGGATTATTTCAACTTACCCCACTTGACTTCACCCAAGAAGGACAGAGCTTCAGTCCAAGTTAACGTAGTTTTGCCTTCAAGCGTGCCGTCAATAATGATTGATTTAAAAACTTGCACTAAGAAGGATGTCAATCTTTATGTTCGCTTTTCTAACAGGGGTTTTTGGACTCACTGCGAAGTAGCCTGATGTCAACTGATTCTCTCATCATGAACCTCACGAAATATGTCTCCTTGAGTTGGCCAAGTCGAAAGATTCGACCATAGGCCTGAGACTCTGTCGCAGAATTCCACCAGAGATCGCTATGTATTCATTAATAATCATTTATAGATCTACCCAAATAGAAAGAATACATACACCATAATCGCGCGATTGGCAAACGCAAGATTCAAGCCCACGCCTCCAACTTTTAGGCCAATGACAAGTATTGTGATCTCGGGATTTTTCTCGAATTCAAGTAGAGTATGTTTTCGATCTTCAGCATTCATTTCCCCCTTATAAAATATTAGCGAATTTGAATTCAAAGATGCCAGGTCTTGACTCACGGTATAGTACAAGAAGTGGAAATCTTCTTCTTCGAGCATAATTCCGGTGAGTCTCATCATCAACTTCCACTGAACAAAGATAACTTTTTTATCAGAGGGTGCCTCACGACGCCAAGTTTGAAGCTTCTTTTTAATAGCTTCCACTTTTGGGGTGTGAGGAAGCTTGACGGTTCCTTTGTCAAAATCTTCAAGCCACTCAGACCTGACACTCAATCTCGGTAGAAATCCCAATGCATCTCGTCCTTTTCTCATGCTAGAGTCGTCTTCTGGTCCCGTGGACCATGAATCAAGTGATATCATGCGAGCCTGGTTGAATTCTCTGCCACAGTCATGAGCTGGACACACAATATCCTACTGGTTGTAAGCAGACTGAGATCTTGATGGAGTTGTCATCATAATACGCACATCTGTTCTGGCAATTTGTGCAGTAATGCTCATATCTATGCAACTTTGGCAAAAGACATGATCACAACTTTTTCGGCCCCTGCGACCATTGCGAATTTGCTGAGGGTCATCTGCTACTTGGTTACAAGATTCACAAATGTGTACGTCAAGATCTTTACTACCAATTGAGGGTCCGTGGCCACTCTTTAAACTGTCGATCCAGATTCCCATTCCTATATTCTTGTTAGATGAGACATTATGAGTTGTCTGGGGGACATACGCTCATATAAAGCAGGACATGAATTATTCATGCCCTTCCGTAACTCTTGAAGTTCCTCAATATTGAATAAAGCCTGCAAAAAATTAGAAACAGTCATCGTTGGGCTTATATAATTTATCACCTTTATTTGCGGCTCGATAGCTAATGGACTCGCGGTAAACCTAAAAAGTTAGCGGATAGATATAAATAAAAATCCACTGCAATCTCACTGCCGTAGTCGCAGAATCATGACTATAAGATATTTCATTTTTTTCCGCGGGTCACTATCTGCGAACTCTTGTTGAGCCATGATCTCTCGAAACTTTGCTTCAATTGCCCGATACAAATTTCGAGTTGCCAAGCGGAACAATTCAGTTGGGTTCTCCTTGTGCGGTGTTGGCAGCGTAATAAGTTCTTTCCCCAAAATTTGATCCTGCATAGTTCTCCTAATTTTTATCAGTCCATGATATTATCTTCAACATATGAGGTGGGTATTAAGGAAGAATAGTTACCGGAGCACCAAACGGGACAGGATTTCATCAAGTCGGCTGTTGCAAGCTGACTATAAAACCAATGTCAGCATCAGTAATGCCTATCGAAGTTAAATACATACATTTCTGTGGTCACCATAAACTCGGTTGAAACTAGTAGAATATCAGTTATGCATATACAGAAGGAATGTTCTTTAGAACAGACTTTGCAAGGGATGAGATGCCATCGAGTTTGAGAAAACGAAAGTAAGAATAAAGTTCTAGTGACTGTAAGTAAAATGACAGGGTTTTCAGCACCGGAGAATGAACCTTCTCGCTTGTTCATCATAGGTGTCTGTGAGAAGTTAATTTTATGTTCAATTGTTATGTTATGCAGTATCTTACTCCTGTCATAAGCCACCGATACTTTCCGAGCAAAGCGCTCGCCGCATAACTGGTTTTAGACTCATGATTCTTCATGTAATGCTGAGTATGTTAGAGAGCCTCATGGGTTATATTGGGCATTACCTACAGCTTCATCAAGAACGATCTAATAAATGTGTCAATATGAGTTTTCGATGGCCAGGAAAAGACGCTCGACTTACTCGATGCCATTCAATCTTATGCAAAACTTCGGCGAACTCTTCGCGATTGTCGTCAATCCATTCTTCAATAGATGTCCGTTCATCTAATGTGCTGCCTTTTGTCTTCAACTTTAGAGCGAGGTCTGCGAGCCACGACTTTGGTGGGAACGGTGAGGACATTCTGATCTGGTCATATGAAGTTATGACCAGGTCAGCCTTGATAAGTGTATTCTTGGAAAGTTTCTGGCTTTTAGAATAGAGGATCACATTCAAATCGGCATCAGCGAGATGCTTGGCTACTTCCGAGACCCATTGTGCTGACTGCTGAACGTTAGTATCTCGTAAAGGCCCATGCACTTTAACCTACAATACTTGAGGGGACCACGATCAGAGTCGGACCTATCCCTCGTCCCTCTGCACCTTCGAGACGAGGGTTACCGACACTCATCTAAAAATCATCAGCACATGATATTAAACATAAATTGATGTTACATACTGCGAGGATCTCCACAGTTTTACCAAGACCCATCACATCGCAAACAAGCCCTCCCGGTGGACCCGCTGGGTCAAATTCTCGACCTAGCATCCAGCTTGCACCGAGAAGTTGATGATGATAAAGAGCTGCAAGAACCCGTCATTAGATTACAAAATATATGTTAGAGTAGCAAAAATTCATACCCGTATTTAGTCCCTTTACACTCCATCTATTTTCATCTTTATATTTGACATTGGCTCGGCCAAAGCTCTCGCCCGCGATCTTTAATGCAGTTTTGTCTCCTCTACACTTATGTATACGCCCATCGGTCCGGATATTCCTGAGAACCAGGTCAAAGTATTCCTTCTTTGAGGATGCTTCAACCCCGGGTGTTCCCTCTTCATCAGGTCTTTCTCTGTGATCATCAATAGGATTATGACTCATAAGATTGTTAATTTTTGAAGTCACTCCATCGTTCGCAAAGGCTCTGCGGGTTTTCCGCTTGTAAAACCTAGCCTTTCTGCGGTAGGAACGAGCCCACCACTCTCGTGAAGTCTTCATGGGGCTCTCTCGGCGCTTTTTCTCAGGAGGCTCTGGCTTGATAGAAGACTTATTGTCATCATTTTCGATGTCACTAAAGTCACTGTTCTCCAAGTCATACTCATACTCGAGTTCTCCATTACTAGAATCTGTTGCCTCTGGACTTGGAGTGCGGGAAGACTTTGTCGGATCACATATTTCTTGGACGGTTGGGAATTTTGGGGAGATTGAGCGACTAAGTCTTCTTCCAGCATAAGGAATACTCTTGCCCCAGATTGATCTGCGACGCTTTGAGGGGCTCTGCCTCTCATCTGAAGATGAAAAGTCCGAAGCTTCGGTCTTGAGTCGAACATCGTCTCCCTCCAACTTAACACCGGGGCTAGACATAGAATGAGTTCTTGAACGCTTGCGGTGTGTCTGTACTGTAGAACCTGCACGTGATGAAGACCAAACGACTGCATCAGTTTCTTCCAGCTCACTATCCTCCGCCTTGACTTGTGATTGAGCTACTGATTTCTCCGCAGACTTAGATCTAGATGAGGGAACCCATGCAATACCATTTACCTCTTCCAGCTCGTTGTCCTCGGCTTTGATGTGTGGCTGAGTTGTACGCTCCACGTAAGATTTGTGCTTTGTTGTTTTAGGAGACATGCTGGCTAATTTCCATTGAGATTCGGTGTCCAGTATTAAATCTTCATCAGGCTGTAACATAGAATCTGTCATCGGACTGCTCTCTGGCGGAGTTTGTTCCATTGTTTCAATGTTTCTGATGGCGCATAAGAATGATTGTAGAGTAGAGGTAACAATAATATTGGTGACGAAATGAAATCCCGTAAGAATCAAAGCTGAGATCAATTGAGAGGGAGAGTAAGACGTGATAGCCTGTGAAGTCCAAAATGTACGAAGGATGAGGCCGAGATAGTAGATCGGAGGAAGCTGTCCTTTCGAGTTCGTAAAAGTTGTTTGTTGAGGATCCTGAATGGACTAAGGGACTTGAATTGGCTTGCAAGATCCAGAGAACTGGAGTATTACGAAGTTTCTCTGTTGAAAAGATGTGATTGAGGTTAAGTTGGGGATTTGGTGTCGAAAGGTTGGGGTTGGGGTTGAAGATCGAAAGATTTAGAGATCGAAAGAAATCCAAAGAAGGATCTAGTCCCAGAGGTAGGGAGCCGCAGATCATGTATAGTGAGTATGAATTATAATAAAAGAATTGAAAAGTGAAACAAATTCTGCTCTCGCCTCCTTCGCGTGGCTTCGTCCGTGATATATTTGATTCGGATACATGCAGAATGAACGATGAACAATTGGGTTCGCTTTCACAAAGCCCGCAGTCAAAAAGCAAGTTATGTTGCAAAAAGCTTGAATATTATCACAAAAATGCTTTTCGGACCGGAATAAATACGCAGATTTGGGCTCCGGACCTCCAATCTTGATTCACAAGAGAGCATAACCATTCTCTTGGTTTCCTCACCAGCTCAGTAGCCAAACTTTACTATATCAAAGTCGGTTGCCTTGAAGCAATAACATCTCAAGAAACGCGCCGTGTCATGATGGACAGAGCAGATACACCCATCACCCCACTCCAATCTATCAAAATACATTCCCCAAGAGCCCATAGAGAGTCTCGAGACGAAGTCAAAAGCTGCCTCATTGTTCCCAGGTGTCTTTGGATAGACAGCCCGAAGAACATTTTCGATTCAAGGAGATAATAGCGGGAGTATATTCACAATGAGTTCACCAAACGAGATGATATGATTGCAAAACATGATGAGACGAATGCAATCGGATGATCATAAACATGAATGATGTTGAAGGTCACAGTCATATTGAGGTCCGTGCTTATCCCACTCAGCGCCGGATTTGATAGATCTCACGCATTTCTTATTAATTCTGTGCCTCGTGCGCGAAATGTCAGCTTGTTTTTGTTCTATTCTCACACCTCATTTCAGAATAATCCCACTTCGTTAAAGGCTTCGTCTCCTTTTCCGGATTTCCCAAATATAATACTCATTCGTGACTTCCCAAATAATTTTCAAAACTGCTTCAGAAAATTAGCCTTAGGCTAGTGGGTTGTCGAATTAAATTTACTTCTTTCGCGATATGATTCTGGGATAGTTGATTGAACCGCGCGAATTCAAACCCTCGTTCTTTGACAATGCTGTCGCTTCCCGTCAGTCTTACTGTTACACAGATTCGGAATTGCTTGTTTGAAACAGAAACAGTCGGGGTCTAGAGTCACTAGATGGAGATATACGATAAGGACATTAGTCCATCCTGCCGCTGCCTGGAAGATTCTGGCATTCACACTCTCATGATTAAGGCTACATCAACTGATACCATCGCAAGAACGCTTTGATCATTTCTTTATCATATCATGGCATCTTCTCTCTGAACAAAAATTCATTCGAAGCCTCTTCATCTTCTACATTCTTCCTTCCAACATCATCTCTATATCGTATCATCATGTCTTCCCTCCCCCTAGCCATGTTTGCTCACTTCCATCCTACTCTCTATTTTCTATATCAACCTTACACCAATGTCCATAAATTATATGGTACATTACTATATCTATATTATCAAAGCAGTATGAGTCCATCTCCCCTCTCCAACTCCAACTTTCTCTCCCATTTCCCATACCCAAACCAAAACAACCGAATATTAACAAGCTTTTCACCTACAGGACACGCATACAAGATACGATAATCACAAGTAAGCTCTGATGAGTATACTCTTGATACTTAATTCTCTCAATTTTCAGAAAATAAAGAGGTATCTTCTGATTTCAATTTATTATGCAACCCTTGATCCGGCTACCACGTCTCCCATTCTCGATTCAGCTACCACCTCTCTCATTCCTCCTTCCATACCGATCCAGCATTACAAACCACCCACTCCTGTCATTATCAGATCACACTAGCTTGCAAACTTCAAGTCCTTATTTTATCCAGTAATCCCGCTATCAATAGCCTTAGTGATAGCGCTTGATCCAGTCGATCCAATTGATACTCACGAAGAATCCGGCCGTGACAGATCTTCTGAGCGAAGAGAGCGTTTGAGGAAAGGGTCGTTGATATGCTCAGCCGCCTCTTATGTAGCTTGATCCAGACTTCTCATAGAATGATTGAATTTATCCATGAGTGATGATTGAGGGAATGAGAACTGATGTTGCTTCCGTGATTTACAAGGAGTCGAGTTGATATCTGATACCAAATTTCCAAACTTTTCTCCAAACATGCTCGCGGAAGGCTGATCCAGGAGTCCTCCTGCGGTAGAGTCCTCGTCAATACTCAAACTCTTTCGCTTCTGAGCTTTAGTCCTTGTGACAAGACGATTCGCATCCGCGGTAGCTCTAACCATGCACATCCAAAGTCTGACCTGCTTCTCCGCCTCACTCATCTGTCGATTGACGAATATCCCGCTACGTCTAGACGAATTGAAGACACACAGCCGATATAAGCACAAGGAATAATGATCAGCCTCCTTCCAATCCTTCATATTTAGATCCTCATCAGAGTATTTCCCGTCACCGTATGATTCTCCTTCGATGATCGATCTTTGGACGGTTAAAAGAGAGGGACCTCTAGTATTAGGTGCTGTCAGAGTACGCGGTTGGATAGCATTCTAGTATAATAAGTCAAAGTGGCGACGGAAACCATGGGATTGTAAAAAAATCGGTAACGGCGTCTGCGTTAGGAAGTCCAAGATAGGAAGCCATCTTCTTAAGGCTTTGAGATGCATTGGGATCAATATCAACACCTGCCAACTTGTTGACAGGTGGACCATTTTCACTGGATAAGAGCATTTCTGCCACTGTTCTCAACGTCTTCGGTCCTGTTGCAGGGCTTCTTGCACCCGCTGAGGATGCCATGTTTCCAGAATTGCCTGTCTCGAGGTTCGAGTAAAGTAAATCCAGCCGTGTATAAGCATTGAATCTGAGATCAGATGGAAAGATTTACGACTGATAAGCTGAAAAGGTCAGTTACACTTCTGAGAAGACGAATTTGGGGGTGATTACCTTGGAAAGAAAATTCTCGATTGAGAAAGTTGCTCTGATATAAGATATTCCAGATTTGAGGTACTTGGAGGCTTGAACTGAAGGCGGCGATGTTGGTGGTAGAGGTTGTTGTTGTCCTCGTCGTCGTCGTTGAAGGTTGAAGGATGGAAGAAGTTGAATATTGAAAGTGGGAAAAACAATTAAGCGTGCTAGCCGATTCAAAAGTGAGATTGACGCTAAGGCCAAAAAATATTTTTTGATTCGTCGGAAGATTTTCTTTTCTAGACTGTACATAAACATAGCTACACATCTTGCTCTTTTATCTTTCAATTTCTAAGGACCCAACCCATGCCACCATCCAAGCTGCATACCCACAACTCAAGCTGGTTTGAGAAGTTTCAAGGACGAATTATTACTGGAAGAACTTATCAAAAGTGCCACAAGAGATGTTGAAGCTGATGCACAAGCGATGAATTCAAAAAGCTCTCTGCGGAAGAAAGAGATCGAAGCTCTCTTACCAGCAAAAGTTTCCAAGTCTTTTGCTCCTCCATCTGCCTCTGATATGGCGGACAGGGCTTCGTTAGAAAGCTTTCTGTACCATGCAGACTACCAGCCGCAGTCTTATATCAGTGATTGCAAATCCTTCGGGTTCGATCCTGAACATCCTCGCTTCCCTTCCAACAGTCCCACATTCCAGTTCAAGAGCTGGCAAGTGACCGGCATGAGAAGAATGATGAGGATACTCGACAACCCTATTGTGCAGGCTTGCTTGTTAGTAGATGCCACAGGCTTAGACAAGACTGTCCAAATCATTGAAATCTGAATCTGGGTAAGTTATTCATCAATTGAGTTACTTTTTTATAGCCCACTAATAAGTTACCCAGACGAAAATTCAACGCGGTCTAGCTGTCGCTCGTTGTGAACAATTGCTGGAAGATTATAACGAGAAGAAAGAACTCTACGAAAGATGGAATGCAGCGAGAAATGCAATTCCTACACAAGTCCAACTGAGGGCGTTGCTAATAATGTTTCCGACCAGAACCCTTTTGCAATTCCGGATCTCCCAATCCGTCCTTTGTCACCAAAGCCTATCTTATTAGTTGTTCTACCAGAGCTTATTGAACAATGGGCTACGGAAATCAAGAAGTTTTCTGAAGACTTCAAAGTACTTATATATCATGGAGGTGAACTTACTTCCAATTTCGGAGTCCATGAGAAGATCTCTGCAAAACCAACGAAGGGAAAGTTGACGCGGGATCATCCGATTTTCAACGGAGATGAAGAGAATTCTCGTGTTGTTGTCATCACCTCAGTGGTCACAATGCTCTCAAGACATGGACCGACAGCGCTCAAGAACTATCGGATGCATCATCTGGAATACATGCAGCAAGACGCCGACGATCTAATCACTGTGAACGATTCCAACTGAGCTTACAACATTGAAAGCTCATTCGATCACATCGCCGTGGACGAAGCGCATACTTTAAAGAATTGTGATACCATGGCTCACAGAACCGTCACCTGGTTGAAACTCAAGTTCAAAATTTTGGCGACGGCTACTGTACTCTCTAATTTTATGGAGGACTTCCGCGGCTACAAAGAAGTTTTCGAGACAACAGCGGATAATTGACCGAAACCAACCTTCAAGAATGGAGAGTTATTGCTGCCTTTATTTCCTACGCATTATCCCGATTCTCACACTGCAAGCATCCTTCGATTTACCGCCAATGTTACTGATAAAAGAATCCAAACAAACACTTGAACTTTGCAGGCTGGTGTTTACTATGAGAGTGAGCTGGGAGATATAGGATGCGATGTGGGATGATTATGGAAGGAGAAATGAGGTATATAGTAGCTAAATGAAGAATAAGAACATAACTAACCATATCTCATGTTCCCCTATTCTTCATATCAGAAGACCTAGACCTTGAATATCAAGGCTGTCATCTAATTTAAAGCAATGAGGAAATAAATACAAACTCCTTGGTACTACCGATATTTTGTAGCATCCCTGCCTTACTTTTGCATCATTACACCCCCACTGTATACTACCGTGCCCATTGTTTCCTATTCATTATACATCAGATTAAAACCCATCTCATTTCCACACACATTCCTGGCTCAAAAGTTCTCGAGCGGGAAGATCTTCCCTTTTATTAGTCATCAAATTCATACACACAGCACTGTTATCACTGCAATTATCCATCACGCATTCTCCCCATCTATTAAGATCTGGGCTTTAGACTAGAGCTTCCATAATATCCTTTCTAACTTCGAAAACTACCACTCATTTTTCCGAGAAATTCACTCGAAGCAACCGCGCGACGATGAAATACTGTCTAAGAGCAAACGATAACCCGTCTTTCCGCTTCCTTCCATTCCCACCATCTCTCATATCCTCACTCTGATATCAATCTTCCGTCAGAAACGGAAGCTTAATATCAATTACCAGCAAAAGCACCCAGCTAGATGCCCCAGACTTCTAACGCACTTCTTTCATCATAACTTCCTCCCTCACTCGACCTGATATAAATTTAACCTCAAACTCCCTCCACATAATTCCGTCCTATTACCAGCACAGACCATATTGCATCCTGTCGTGCTCTGCAATAAGCCTGATTGAAGTGTTGCGCCTGCATTTATGTTTGATCCGCAGTAGCATTCATCTCCTAAAGTCCCCAGTCGTCATTAGCACTGATTTCACCAGTCATACTATCACTTTTCCATAAGAACCATCTCTCCCTGTACTGTAACCAAGACGAGATAACATAAGATAAGATATACTCACCATACTCAACACCAAAATAAGTCCACCCATTACAGGCCATAGAACAAGCCTCCACACTGTTATTCATCCCCGGAATTGGGTTTTCTAAACCACTCAAAGCACGACCCCTTGTAGATTCATTATAGCATCCTAAATAATTCCAGCCGGTTAAATTCGTGACTGTGATCGGTCCTGATAGTGTCGAGATAGTACCGTTAAATTGGTACATGTTGAGTCTGGAACCACCTATTGTTATATATCAGTAGATGTATCTCTGTAGAATGGAAAAGATGGACACGTAACCTCCACAATATTCTCCAGGATCTCCAGCGCACAACATATTACATCCATTCACACTCGGGATGGTGCTTTCTTCAAGAATTGAGCCGGCATTTATAGTTGTTCCGCAATAGCATCTAAGGAAAATTAGCGAGTGCAATGCAGGAATGGAGGACGGAACAGACTAACTCATTAGAATACTCCATTCCAAAATACTCAAAAGCCGAGCAACTCGATTGACAAGACTCTATTGTGAATCCTCCAATAGGAGGCGCAGGCCGTAGACCAGAGAGGGCACGACCTGTGGTCGCTTCACTGTAGCATCCTAGATAGTTATAGCCAGTAAGATTTGTTACCGTGATGGGCCCTGTCGGTGTAGGAATTGCCGAACTTGTTGAAGTTGTTAATATTGTTGGGGGTGTTGATGACGATAAAGATGACGTGGAAGTCAATGTAGTATTCTCCGTCATAGAAGTCGAAGAAGTGGCACTTGAGCTGGTAGTAGATATAGTTGTACTGGTCGAGATCATAGATGACGACGAAGAAGCTGCTGTGTTCAGCATATAAGCATCAAGTTTCCCTGGTCCACCGCAATACTCTTTGGTATTGCCTTTACAAAGCATGGAACATCCATTGATGCTTGGAGTTCTACTAGTCTGATTGACTGAGCCGACACCGAACACACTATAAGTTCGCGGAGTCAGCATTGTGAGGTAGAATTTTAGAGTCAAACGAGAAAGGTACTCACTTCCCACAATAGCATTCGTTAGCATACTCCATACCAAAGTATGTAAATCCTTTGCAAGCAGTTGCACATAATTCGATTGTGAATCCTGTAGATGGTGATTGAGGGCTTAAACCACTCAAAGCACGACCAGTTGTGGCTTCACTATAACATCCCATGTAATTATAATTACCGACACTATTGACTGTCTTGGGACCATACAATGCTGGATCAGATCCAGCCACATATTCTGTAGGGTTATAGAAAACGGAAATATAGCCAGTTCCCCCGCATCCATCGGTCGGGTCACGCGGGCAAGCAAAATTGCACAATGCATTAGTCGGATCCTGTGAGGCTAATGGTGGTGGAGTACTGCAAGATCGAGGAGTTAGCATTGCATATAAGAATAATCTGAACGTCTAAGGGCTTTGAGGTCCTTCAGCATTTGGTTCGAGGGGATTTCCCGTACGTAGTCTCATGAAGGGCCAGAACTGGGTCTAGAGTTCTCGCTTATGGATACGCTAAACCCAATCTCGATCCTCGGGGATCAATCGACCAATGCCCAGGTTCTACTTAGAACCCGTAGATAATGTTTGGGAATAATCGCCAGAACACAAAGGTCCTCGATCATTGGATTGTATCAAGGGCAGATCCGAAGGAAAATGAAGCAAGTGAAGGAAAACGAAACGTGAATGCTACATAGAGAAATAGAAAGAGTACATAGAATTAAATACAAGGATGAATGATACAATCGAGTAGCAAGTTTAGGTAGACTGAAGGAAACAGTGAGTGCTTGAAACTTACTTGCCGCACCAGCATTGGCTAGTATATTCTGTACCAGCAAAGCTGTATTGTGCGAGTCCATAACATGCTTCTTGGCACATATTATTGCTATTTGCAGTGACATTAAGTGTATACCCTTGATTAGGTAATAGACGTGGTCCAATATTAGATTCTTGAAAGCATCCGAGATAGTTATAGATTGTTTGACCAGTAGTAGAATTTACTGGACCAACTTTCTTTGAGATGACAGTCCCAGTGATTTCAACAACGTGAACCCCCCAATCGACATCATCTGTATTCAAAGTCCAAGTATTGTTGAGTACAAGGTCTGGCTTATTGTATTGTTCCACATTTGCTGAGAAGATGACGGTTCCATATGCGCAATCATTGACAGCTATCTGTTGTGATTCGTGCAACTCCGCTGGGTCACTAACATGAAAGACGCCATTGGGTGGCTTGCTCTTACTAATTTCCAATGAGGAGCCTCCCACATTACAAATTCGTATCTGCTGGGAATATGAGCTCCCAGGTGCCACTCTGCCAAAGTCCATAAGAAGGTTGGCTTGAGGAAGCCATCCACCTTCGCCATTGCTAATCGAAAAATTTGTTATTGGAGCCGTTGAGGCAATACCCTCAAGGATGATGTTGACTGTACCTCCATCGGACCAAACTTGCCAATAAGAATTATATGATCCGGTTCCATTAGTAGGTTCAAAGAAAGACTGTATAGATATCTGCGAGCTAGGAGCGATTTGACTTCCAATTTCCGGAAGACCCACTGCACCGAAGTAACCAAACCCCAAATCCCATGACCCATTCATCACGGTGCTGTTGACGAATATCGGACTATCATCTAGGTCATCCGCAGTGTATGCATACCCCAAAATTGTCATAGCCATCAACCCTTTGTTTGATATCGTAAAGATAGCTGATTGCGGATTTATGTCACTTTCATTTGTGATGATGATTCCGCCATAATCCACTGTAGTTGGAGCAATAGCTAGAAAGGGCTTTGAGGATACCTCTGTACCAGTCAAACTTATTGGATAGAGAGTAGCAAAGCCGGGGACAGCATTTGTCGTTAAAATTGTCAATGGTGTGCTTTTAATTCCAGGAGATACACTTCCAAAAGACGTATTTGGTGTTGCTCCAATTTGAACATTTGATAAGTCCCAGGTGACAGGAAATGTGAATGTGGCCCCCTTTTTCAAAGGACCTGTTGGCAATGTTGAATGATCAACCGAGAAGTACCCATTTCCAACAGTTGCGCCGTTTATTGAAGTAATCGCAATATTCGTTGTACAATTGACAGTCTGGACTGAGTTATCTCCAAGCGCAACGATGCCAAAATCGATTGGAGAAGTACAGTTTACTAAACAACGGGTTAGCATACCATACTGTTCCATCCATAGCCTCCAAATAGAAGAGTTATTTAAGAAAAGAGCTTCACTCACGAGGAAGATTGACAGGTGCTCCGAGACAATAAAGAACGCCATTTGAATCTGTTGTATATACTCGACCGTTTCCGAAAGCTGGACGCTGGAATTTGTTCGCGCCTCCTATTTGAGGTAGCTTGATTTTTTGTAAAACACCATTCTGGGGGACAGCATACCATGCACGGAGACCGGCATCAGGGTCTGTCATCCACAGAATTGCTGTACCAATTTGATTATTGAAGCTAGTGACAGTTGGTATTCCAACTCCGACGCGACCTGCAGAGACCTCATTCGCTTGACCAACTTTGGAAAATTGGGGAAGACCACTAGATGTGAATGTGAGCTGATAGACTGATGTTGCCAAGCCGACCGGAGTACAATAGATGAAACCGCCCTCGAGGGGATAAGAGCCGCATGCACCAAATATTGCAGCACTCGTGACGATTGTTTGCAAGATATTATCGGTTTGTCCAGGTCCTAGCTTATATCCACCAAGGTTGTTCGCATTCAAGATATAAATTTTCCCATTTTTACCAGCAGTAACGGCCATTTTGTCTACACCTGTACCTTTGAATACCGTCGGATCGAGTAGAACAATGCCTCCGCTACCAAAATCTTGATCGCCAGCATCCATGTTCTGATAGTCATAAGGTTGGAAGTAATCCGATACGGATATCACACCAGTGCTATCCAAGGCTAGATTTATGGTTGCTTCTCCTAGTGTTTGACAACCACTCGAACCTGAAGCTGGTGTCCCTTGATTTTGATGAGCCTAGAGAAGGATGTCAGTTACCATTTGCCATTCAAAAAGTCCTGGGGAGCATGGCGCACTTACACCACCATTACCAGATACAAGGAAAATCCTAGCTCCATCAGTTGCCAATCCCATTCCACTCATCCATATACCACCTTCTCCGCCTCCACCTCCATCAAGCAAAACATTTGTTTGCGGGACTAGTGATCCACTTTCTACTGCCCAATTTGTAATAATCTTGGCTTTCTTAACGTCGATGCCCATTACAAGACCAGTGTAATTGAACAAATCACAATGGCCCCCAAAAGAACCATATACCACACTTCCAACTTGTGTCAATGAAGGACGCTGTAGAATAACCCCCCCTATGAAATATTTTTGAGGGGCATTATCTGCAATTGCGCCGTCGATAAGTATTGGGTAAGAATCTACATCAAGCAAAGTATTGATATTGACTGCATGAAAGTAATAAACACCATTTGCGGTTCCAGTACTGCAAGATCATAGAGTCAGTATTATTTATCAAAAATGTTCTCTGAGGGCGAATGCGAAAAAGGAATTAATACTCTACGGAGGAGGAAAAATAGTATATGGCATGATACACAAATATAGAGCATGAAAATGGGGAATGGAATTAGACAATAAAAAGAATGGAATTGGTAAACCTACTTTCCTGGAACTCTGTAGTTTGGTATATAAGTTTTGGAAAAGAAATATGCTATATCAGTGGCGGGGTCGATAGTTGGGGTGCCTGTAGTTTGATAAGTGGTGGAATAAGGTAAGGGCATAACTCTTGTTTACCTATGATACCAATGTAATTGGGAATATCTTGCAACATGTCAATTGAATGAAGTCCAATCAATCTTTCACTTTCAGACTTACCTGTACATCCTATATCAGATTGTAAGAAAGGTGTATGAACTTGTCTTGAGTTTATGAGAACTCCGGTCTCGGCATTAAGGGTTCTAATATAGTTTTGGTTGGATGCAAGAAATAGCAATTGAGGGCCGCCTGTAAGTGGCGTATATGTTAATGGTTTAGCATAGAACTGTCTTCGTCAGCAGTTATTCATGCACTTCTAAAATGATCCTGTGCCCGGACAAGGCTTTTTCAGACCGCAAACGTAGTAGTCCAAGCATGCAAGAAATCAACGCTTGAAGACTTTTTGATGATTGTTCTGTCCGTGTGTATCCTGTAGAATACCTTGACCTTCAATGTTGAGATTTGAATGAAACAATAATGACATGACTAACCTGTTCTTGGTAATTGAAGGCGACTTTCCACAGCTGGCCAAATGATGAACTGTCAATAATTCCCGGGTCCATGTTGTGATTAGTCCTGATCATTATTAAGAATCTTCCTCTCGTATATGGGAGAAGAGATACTTACAGATATCCTGTTTGCTGCAAATCTGCATCTCTATATTCGTCCGTAGATGAAAGGCCTTGAACTAGAATATCACTAAAGATCACCGTAAGAAGCACGGCAATGTAAAAAGAAGAGAATGTCATGTTGATGGGACTTCTCCGGATCTTTTTTGAGGCCGAAAACACTAAAAGACTTGCGATGTACGACGAGAATTGAAAGGATGTTTTTTCCTCTGTGATTAAATGGGGAAACGATATATTGGCATCGAGGTCCTTTTCTTCCGAAAGATACGAGCTCTTTGATCCCTTGGAGTCTCTTCCCTCAACCAAAGCCTCTTCTCGTTTCGAATCTGTCCAAGTTTTGTCTTATGAGTTGTATGGGTTGTGCGATTTACCTTCGTTATCCGCAGACCAACCTCTTTCTAGAGCGTCGAAAGAAAATAAATTATAGTATGAAATGAAATCAACCATGCGTGGGTGAACGAATATACAATGGAATCAAGTAGAGAGATTTAAGGCTCAGACTCTTCTCCCGATCATAGCATTGCAGAGGTAAATGTGGATTATTCCTTGAAAAGGTGAAAGAGAGGTAATGCGGGAAGCAGACTTAACTAGCTTGACCAAATCTGGCCATCCCCACCCAAGAACGAGATAATGAGAGATAAAGAGCAATTTCCAGAACTGAGGAAGGAGCGAGCCATGTAAACAGGAATAGGCAAGCACGCCAGACGCCGACCATGTCTTCGTAACTTCCATTGCAGAAGGCTATCTGCATTGGTGTCTGTGAAATCTAAAGCACACCCGAAGCAGATTTTTGAATCCTGCATAAGACCATGAGATATATTGAATGTATATCCTCTGAATCCCGTAAGTGGCAAGTGCATTTATTGAGAACTATCCCAATAACAAAAGATCTCATTCTCACCAAATTTGTTCTCCATGATTTCTTGTAGACAATCCCGTAGGGTAAAAAGTTCTATGGACGTATTAGAGTCTTTAAACTTGATCTACATCTTATATTGAAAGGTAGCCGTGCTAGATGAAATTGATTAAATCTTGTCATTTCTACAATTCTACGAGTTCCATCAAAGGCAAGGAATTCGATTGATCATTTTCGGCACGGTCCGCCTGAGTTTAACGGCATTGATCGGATACTGCGGCTCGATATTATCTTCTTATACTTTTACCTCAAAATTCTACATATATCAAATTTATAAGGAAAATGTATAGATCAATAGCGGTGTATCCTGGACTGGTAACGGGGGGCTTGTAAGTCTCCCTATTGGTTCTCTCAAACTTGGTCGCTACGATGAGTTTTGTCCCCCTTCATCTGGTATCCGTTAATCCTCTAGGTTCTCGAACACTACCGCTTCCCATCGAGCATTCTCTTCCTCGCATCGATGGGACATCGTATCGAGCTCTGCGAACCTCCCTGCTTGACATATCCTTACACCCGAGATTTCGTCCCGCGGGCGGTTCAATACTTTGTGCGTCTCGTTCAGCAACCCCGCCATTGTCACTGTTTCCGCAGATCCCACGGATCTCATCGATAATTACGCCAAAAACGTTAAAGCAGATACAGCAGATATTCCATTGGGCAGAAACGTTGCACTAGATCTCACGCAGAACTACCCGGACACAGTTGCTGGCGGCGGGGTATATATCACTGGCTACGAGAAATCTTGAGGCAGTCCCCAAAACTGGTACAATCGAGGTGCGGGGCTATCGACGATTTCTACAACATGGCTGGGCTAGGTATTCATACATCATCTACCGATACATCAAAGCTTTTCGGCTACATATCGATATCTTGCATCTTGAGGAAGCGAATCAAAAATCAATAGTCAACCACTCGCTTTAGGTACTACTTGGTTTTTGTTCATACCTACACCTTTGCCACGTCTTGCAAGCGCAGGCTTAGTACATGAATCAACTTACTTGATAACTGACTTTATGATCATCGGTTCGAGCTTCACTTTTTGTTTTCAAAATATCCTTTGTTGCATGTCTTCCGGAACACTTTTCAGCCGAAGTCATTTTGCGGGGGAATTCTCATCCGGATGAACTTCTAAAAGCTCTTGGCGAAGCTGACTGCTCAGGCCAATTCGGTCATTCCTTTCTCGGTTCGTTCTCCGATTTTATCCATACCACAACATCATCAATTGGTGTAAATCTTCTCGATAATGGGTAATTACAACCGATAATTGTTCTCGTCCTTAAATATCGTTCCACAGCCCTATCATTAGTTTTGTCGTCGATCATACTAGATTGCACCAAAAAGATTTTTGTTTGTTGTTGTACGATGTACCGGCTCAGCTATTTCCCGTATTCCCCTGCTTATTTAGGGATTCTTCGTACCAACTGAGCTTCGTGCAATTTGAACACTTTTTATATCGTATATTGCGTGCTATTGTATACCTTGAGCGCGATGTTTATCGGCTTCAGAACACGATCGACTTCCAGGCTAGGAAGGGTCTTCACCATTCCTTGTGGTTTAAATTTGGTCCTCCAATGATGTCTGAAGCTCCGATTGCGCTTAAATATCCTGAAGAAATTCTGAATTTTTTGTGTCTACTCGCGATTATAGTGTCTTGATTAAGTTTTTTTTTCATGTACACAGCACTGCCAGTTTCACCACTCCTATTTACAAGGCCACCCTTAGTCTGATCCCCGTCGCTCGGCACCTAAGTACCATCACTTTTACCAATCAACTGATACTGGTTCTTCATTATCCACCGCGTACCATATCCCTTCTCTTTTATATCCGACCAATCCTCCTCCTCCTGGCACAAATTTGGCGATAGACTCTCTAATCCTGCATTTTTCCGGTATCTGCTCCGCCTTTTCTATAATGCATTCACCAAGATTTTGACTTGTGCCATTTTTCTTCATTTCGTCAATCGCGGCCCCTTCTTCAATATCCATCATTTTCTTGGCAATTTTAGTGTATATCATACTATCTATGATTCCTTCCTTTCGATTACAATTTTCAAGAACGCGCAAAGCACGACGACGCATTAATGGATCTCGACATCTAGTGGAAACTAAATAGATAGGAGTCAGGAAGCCACGATGGTAATGAAAGGTTGGAGGCGTTCCTCCCTGGTTAGGACTAATCATGTATCTATTTGGAGATGTCATCTCGGCATAATCAAGTATCATTTGATATTGGGGGAGGTAAGAATCCCAAGCTATTTCACCTATCGCTATATCGATATTGAGGAGAATTGAAACTATCGTACGACTCATCTGTAACAAGAGAACTGCTGGATGGAATGGTGGAAAATCGGAGGCATCGAACGCCGCGCACCAAGATGAAAATCCGTATCGCATATTTGCTCCATGAATTGGTGGAGTTTGACATGTAGAAAAATCGATGTGTTTTCGTAACGGATCTAAAGGATCTAACCATCTTGAAAGGCCATCATATCTGTGATGGCGCTGAAGCACCGGAGGAGGAGGTATACGATGCTTATTGGCTTCTCCCAATTGTTCCATCATATTCCATAGATAAGAAAGGTATAAATCAAATGCGTTCTGCGCTTCCTCTACTGTCGTGAAGGTAAGAGGTATATTAAGGGTGGGCAGTTGAAGCAGGCGTGTAGTATTGGCCGCAGTAGCTGTTTGTCCGCATTCTGTAATTTGATTTTCTAACCGAGCAAACATAGGAAGAAAGACATCCTTTTGCAAAGAGCCATCCTTGAGTCCCCCAAGCCTCTTATCTTCCTCGATAAGAATCTTTATACCACCAGCGATGTGTGTTAAAGAAGCCTCATAATTGTTTCTTAGGTTATCAAAAGCGGAGAAAACTAGGCACATCATGAGAACGATATCAATATTCAAAGCCTTTGGATCGACTATTCTTTGAATAGCCTTCTGATAATGAATCAAGGCATAATTCGAATCCAATGCTTGAACATCTCTCGAATGCCCAAAATTCTCGTGGAGAGCCCCCAAGGCAACAACAGCATTAAAAATAGCCGATTCTGCATGAGCCGTTTGTAATAAAACAGAAGACCAAAGATCCGCTTCGAAAGGTCCCGTTAACTCTACCGCTGTTCGAAGCCTAAAGAAATCAAAGAATCTTTGCTCTCTCGGTGTGATACCGGGTAGGAGACTTAATGCGTCAACGGGCGAGGAAGCAGAATATACAACGAATTTGAGTTGTCGACTATTGGTGGCAGACATGGATGACGGAGGTGCATATCCCTCGCAAATTCGTTTGGCCTTGAGACATCGTTGACATGTAGGCTTGCCTTCGTCACATTTAACCCGCCGCGCCCTAATACAAAATAAGCTTAATGAAAATAATTCTCCGGAGGGTTTCTGCACAGAAGACTACCTACTTGCATGTAATGCAACCCGATCGGACTTTACTACCACCGTATCGGAATCGTATAATACTGGAGCTCATTTTCTTTTTTCGTACACGGTTTACAAGACGATTACAAGACGTGGCGTTAGTAAACACTGTCGAGCCGTGTCGTTGTCGACAATACCCACCTTTTTGGACTGAAAACACCAATTATCGTTGATTGCTCAAGAAACGTTGACATAAATATGTCACCCCACTTTTCACATAAAATTAGGGGTATAACGGCAACGGGGTTAGTGTGGCTTAAAGCGGTTAGTACTTACGAGAAAATCCCTGCCCCTTATCTTCGCTTCTTCTGGCTACTCGTCTACTCATTCAAAATCGGGATGGAGCTTGTATTCAGACCCAATACTCGGTCCGAGTATTTAACGACATGTGAAGTCTTTAATGCATAAACCGTCAAGCTCGATGTAAATTTTAATAAAGGAATGACCCAATCAGGTCAGCCGAGATCCCCAGGCCATTCATTAGGATGAGGACCGTCATCGGGCTGGCTCAGTTGTCTGCAACTAAGTCTTCGTGCTGAGCAAGGAGCTGAATCAATTTGGTATCTTGGGTGAGATACTGAAAGATTGGTGTCCGTTGCATGTCGATGTATTATTCTGTTCATTGTATTCCTGTTACTTTCCCATCTCATCTTGTAAAGAACTTCTCAATTCCTCTCTCAAACACCTTCTCGATATTCTTACGTCTGTACTTTGACTATCAAAACATTAACTGGAGCCTATATTAATGCTTTAGCACTCATTTCCTCTGTTCAAGCTTCCAACCCAAGGTCTATGGGAGCCCCATTGCATAAAAGATAAGCACAAGTCACTAGGCCTGTGACTTATGACGAGGTTAGTGTTCCAATATTGTGGTTTTCTTTTTTCTTGCTGTACAATTAATGTTTTCCAAAGATTCTGGTTTGCAAACCTAATGATCGGAGCTTTAGAAAATAGAATATCTTTTGGAGTTCTCATTGGCACCGCTTTCGCCGACTTAGTTACTTAGTTACTTAGTTCTCAATCCAGGGTTATACAACACTAGCTCAGCATTTGTAAACTTACAGAAGCCATTTGATGTTACCTATAGAGCTGTCACTAATGATACATTGTCTCTAACTTCAAGTCAAACTATATTTAATTTTAACGATCCATTTAGAACTAGACATTATAAATTTCTCAACTCTTCCAGATAACCGGCTCCCTCTAGAACAATACAATCTTCTTCCGATCGATATTCCCAATCAAACCATTGGCACCATTCGATCTACCTCTAATACCACTTTCACTTCTATCCACCCGCACGATGGCATCGTTGAATTCGGGCACTCCTCGCTTAGTGGTAGCAATTGCACAACTTATTTCCACATCGAAGTTTCGTCCCAAAGTGTCGCTTTAGACTCGTTCTCTGGCTTTCGGCGCCTTCGATACCGATTTGGTCAACGAAAATTACTTGAAAAAAGTTCTGATAATTTGGGAATGAGCTACTTTTGGAGATGTCACCATCAACAGCAGTATCCTCGCCAGCCTACAGAATACAATTTCAGAATTCGACAGTGTGAGTACTGGAATTGTTGGATTCATGTCTTCTGCGAAAGCCCTCTTCAACCTCAGCAATATCCAATTTGTACTTATTTTTTCCGCAGCCGGTGATGCATTAGTAGGCTGTTACCATTGTTCATATTCCCACACTATCCGATTGAGTCTCTTCTCGAATTGAAACTCACATCCTCTACGACTTCGAACGCATCCACAATTTGATATCGAGATGTCAGCACTTTTTGTTGGCCAGAAAGGAAGATGTTATTTATCTGCCATCTCGGGTTTTGATTATGAGGCTCAACCTAGTCTATGGGTTACAGGACACGCTTTCTTTCTGGGAAAGTACTTGTATCATGATTTGGATGATGGGGCTATGGGGCTATGGGTTCTGCGGTGTTGGATGGAGAAAGAAGTAAATTGATGTTATGGATTCTTCACATGCCTATTTACGACATCATAGAAAGCGTCGTGAAGCTTTAGTTCCATTCTTTCAATAAAAGGAATGTTCTATACCTCGAGCCAATGATCACTGAAAAAGTGCAACAGCTTTGTGTTGTTATTTCTTCTCATGTTGTTGGTAAATTGCCGTTGAATCTTTCGGATGCTAATCAGACGTAGTATAGCTGAGAACCTCTTATTTGCTCATGAAATTAACAACCTTGCGGATGAGATAAAGCTACATCGCTTTATCGTAATACTTATCAACTATTAAGAGGTCTTTATGAAAACAAACACATGTCATGGATTCCCGAGAACTCCCTAAATATACGACTAAGCCCATTATGCCACCTGGAATAGTTGATATGTTTGCTTTACTTGCAGTAAGTTTTCTTCAAAGAAGATTTTTCAGAGACGGTAGCTGATGACGTATTGCGCAGAGAGTTCGTGCTGAATTATTCTCCATCATGGAAGCAAATGCCTCTAGGAATACTAATAAGTCTTTGGGTCCAACAGGAAAAGAGTCGGTACATGATTCTGTCTCGGATAAAACCAGTTCACCCGAACTTCCACGCCTACAAAACTAAGGTGCACTACTTGTCCTTGCGGGTACTGAGCCTCCCGCAAAGACACTTAGCATTGTGGTTCACCGTCTCATTGCTAATCCCGCTATCCTTGCCAAACTTCGAAAAGAGCTCAAATCACCTCCCGATAGTGTAACATAGCCGCAACTCGAGCAACTGCCTTACCTATCTGCTGTTATAGAGGAAAGGACCCGTTTAGCTTTTGGTGCTACCCCTCGTACTGCTAGGATTTCTTATGGGACACTTAGGTATACTCCGTCTCAACATGTGATCAATCCGGTAAACTTCGGCAAGAGCTATGTAATTTCACCAAGCACACCGGTTAGTACTACGACTCTTAGTGCACATGCTGTCGCGAGTGTTGTTCTGGACCCTTTTACTTTCCAACCGGAACGATGTTTATGAGAAGAAGGCCGCGTACTGCGAAATGCTCAGATGGCTTTTGGCAAAGGGGGACGAAAGTGCTTGGGAATTGAATTACCACGTGCTGAGTTGTTTTAGCGACGGCAGCATTGGCGAGGAAACCTGAGATGAAATTATGGAATACGGATGAGGGTTATGTGGCTTTTATACATGGTTGGCAGGTTTTCCATCCGAAGATTGAATTAGAGGGAATTAGGGTTATGAAGGAGATGCTTTGATATATAGGTTTTTCTTGACAGAAAGTCAACAAAGACAAATGCCAATCCATCGATGCATCTTTTTTTCTTTCTAAGACTCCGGAGTCTGTAAGCACCAAATTCTCTCGTGGTTTATTCTCTCGTCACAGCCTCACGGGAGTACTAGTGATATATTCTTTGGGTCCTGAGGCTACAAATACATCTCCGGTTCCATTTACTTCTTCATCACTCATAAAACACACGTCGAATCATATATCAAAGCTATCAAGTCTAAATGGAATTTAATCTGTCTCTTCCTCTCTATCTTTGACACTTGCAGATTTTGGATGTTTCAGCTGATAACTTGAGCTAGAAAGCTATTCTAGAAGTCTAGGATTCCCAGTTTTGGTAGCAAACGATGACAATGAGATCTCCTTCCACTCGCCATCTCGAATACCCGACACAATTGAGAAAACACCAGAAACTTGCAGTCTGAGGCCCGTTATTGAACTCCATCCAAGCATAGTTTCAACTGCCGTTCGTTTCATTCACTCACATTCCCCCTTAAGCTACAAAAGTATGCAACCAGTAAAAGTCTTCCGTTATTTAGTATATAAGCACTTTCATATCCTCTCCGTCTTTTTCTATACAAGGAATCAATCTACTGCCAGCCGATTGCAACTCGAGAACGAGAGAGAAAAACAGGACTGGTTCAAAGTTGAGAGAGACCACCTCCTATCTCTCACAATCAATTAACTCAGTTTGTTGATTAAGAATGGAGAATTCATAAGATTAAAGCTTTTGTACCCCCTGAGAAATGAATAGCGGGAAGTCAATCTAATGATTTTGACGACAGTGAAGATATTGAGGAACAATAATACCTTTGCCTTGTCTCTCCCATGTTGTATTATCCCTCTTGTAGATTTGGACACAAAAGCTTTTCAGATGCAACTTCAAAACTCGCACATGCCTATGAGATAATCACTACTCCCTCAGTTAAATAACCGTTTCGCTCCATCTTTGGGCCTTTCTGTTGATAAGTATATAACACATGAGTTGTAGAACTTGGATAACCTGCCATTCATGTTTGCCATTCATTCAAAAGGGTCACTCATAGTTTAGCAAGCATATTGAGATTCACTTTGTCAAAACGACATGCACTAATCCCCAACTTCATTCTCCACTGTGCCTCCGATATATCCGACCGCCTTTTCTCAAGCGGGAGAGCTATGGATATATAAACAACGAATGCTCCCTTTTGTTCTCTGTTAAAGACATCGATTCGGGCTTAGGAAAAACTATAAGGCTGGACTTCATTCTCAAGAAAGATAAAGTGCAAACCTGATTATGCGATGGGTCTCAGGGGCGTGAAAAATAGATTTGGGTGAAAAAATATAGGAGAAGGACCTGAGAAAATTGAGGGACAAGTGGAGAAAAACAAGATGATAACAATGATAGAGGTGATGATTAAACTATCATCGGTAATAAAAAGCAAAGTAAACAACAATAGTGCTTCCTTCCGAGCTCTTTTACTCACTCGCCTCGCCTCGACAACGAGCAAACGCCATTCCCAGAAACCATAAGTAGAATGTCAACTCTTCAGCTGGCATAATCAACCATTCTACTACCTCCGCTACATCACCCCAATACTCCTAGTGAAATATGCAAAAGCAATGTAGAATGAAGACGCAACCATCACCTATCGTCTCATACTTACATATTCACATCAACAACACTTATCTACTACCAGAATCAACACCAACAAATCCACTTCCTTCCTAGCCCCAATCTCAATCCTAAATCATACTCTCACACAAATAACAACTTCAACTATCTACCACCCACTCCCTCAAGCTCATCCCAAGCCTTCAGTTCAGCATCTCCATTTTAGA